ACAAAACATAATGCCATCGAAGGCTGGATAATATCCTGGTGCTATCATTGAGACTTGATAAAATGGAAGTGTTTTACAACCTTGACCTGTGATTCATATTTTTGACCGTAGTGAAAATCGCACCTTAATTTAGAAGAGATGGAAACTTAAAAAGAAAATCAGGCACATGGTTTTGAACAGTCGTTTCAAACTTCTGCGTGCCCCGGCAATTTGGCCGATCCTGCGTCAAATGGCTGCAAAGACACTTTATTAGTGGCCATCATAGCCCACTTTAATAGTGATGGCTAAGCATACTTTTTCCTGGAGACCTTTGAAAAGTGAAACTGGTAATCAGACGACGGCTTGGCGATGAAATGCCAGCCTCATTTCAAATGTCTAAATCACTCACATGGATCATGAGCACAGAAGGGACCACCCACCACATCACATTAACATAAATATAGCGTTTACTCAAAGCAAAATGAGTAAGGGCACTGGCAGGAGTTGAGAGTAGAACAACAGAAATGATTAGGGGGTGGGAGGAATTGAGTTACAAGGAAAGATTAAAAGAGCTCAGCACACATAGCCTGGCAGAGGAACAACTGGGGATGGACATGATAACAGTCTATAAATATTCAGGGAGTATAAACACCAAGGAAAGGGAGGAATTTCTTCCCATGAATAAAGGGGTTCTGTTGGACGTGAATGAAGAAAGGAACAATGTAGGCTGAAAAGCGGGGTAAACTTTCTGACATCAAGGATCTATCAGGCTGCAGAAGCCAATTCGCTTGGCGTGCCTTGGAGCAGAAGGCACAAAGCAGTAGTGAATGTATAATAGAGAGAAAGCCCGCCTTGGCAGAGAGAAGGCCTGGCCGTTCCAATAGCCCTTTTCATCACGAACTGCCTTGGGCCAGCTCCTCGCTGTCACTGCGGAGCCGTTGCTCTCCGGAGAAAGCCTATTGCCTTCAATGGAACTGCTCGCTTAAGTAATTGTTCATCAATTGGAGCAAGAGTTGCACAATCTGATTTTATTAAACTAGAAGGAAAACAGTGAAGGGCCAGATTGTCAAAGGCACCTAAAAATGCAGATAGATACTTAACAGGGTGTTGGCCTCTCAGCCACTTTAGCACACTTGAAAATCCCCCAGAGTCAATTTTAGGCAGACGAAGCATTTACAAATCTGCTCTCTGGGGGCAGAACCATCATTTTGATCCATGTTTGTACAACGCTTAATATAATGGGATTCCTACTCCGTCATAATAAAATTAATAGGAACAAACAGTGTTGTCTACTAATGGCATAAGAGTATTCTCCTTGATTCCACCACTTAAAGACTACCAGATAGAGGACTATGAAAGTAAGGGACTACTCATAAAGAAAATGTGCTGCAGTTGGGTAATGTTAGCAAGCATCATGCTGGAATAGATTTCAGATACGTATCTCAGTTGATATATGGCACTACACTAGGGACATGTACACCAAAATAAAAGAACAAGAGGAAAATATTTAACTTAAGAGACCACAGAAAAAAGGTACTTGGTTGGTTAAAGCACAGCATTACAGTTATTTCAACATGTGTTTTGGGGGCCTGGGTGTGGTTTCTAGATAGCCTGAAATTTCAGTCTACTGTTTTGCCTGTCAACATTGGCCAATTTTTGATGCATTCCAGTTCTCTTAAATGCTGTTGATGGATACTGAAATTAAAGCCGACATTCAACCAGCATGCAGCATAATCTAATAATAGGACTTGTACTACTTCAAATGAACAAAGTTTAGGGCATTCTGGCCACGAATTTCTGCTGTCATTTATATTTTCATTGGCCTTTTCCAGGCGGCCTAACAGGAAAAAAAAATCTATGAAAACCTTTGCAAATAAAGTGTTGTTGTGTTTTTTTTCAAGAGCACCAAGACAACACTCAGAAGCCAGAACCTGACAGTGATCCACCCCAAAATCTCAAGGACACCGGTGCTAGAGTAGCCTGAATCCCCATGACACCAGTGGGATTGTCAGGTGTGCATTGATCTCGGGATATAACGTGAAATCCTGGCTCCTTGGGAGTTTGCCAGTGACTTCAAGGAGGCCAAGATTTCATTCCTTCACTGCTCACCATGATTTCAGTGGGTGGTGTGGGCAAACCTTCAACAGTAGCATGGGATATGGATGAAGGAAAGGACATGACCCGTTTTGGAAGTGCATATAAAGTGCCTTGAGTGGATGTTTTGCACATGGTTCGGCAGAAGCTCACCAGAATGGAGTGCCTGTACATGTTTTTTCCAGAAGAAACTGTAAGAACCAGCATATTATCTGCTAAGGCAAAAAAAAAAAAAGTACTGTTGTACTTGAACAAAAAAGTAATCGCATCAAAAGGTCAGGCTAAAAGGTTAAACTGCATATGAAAGAAAGCAATTTAGATAATGAAGGAACAGACAGGACTTGCTCTGCAGAACCCTCTCTTCTATAGCTCTCCCGCACGTCTCATTTTGCAGGATGTCATTCAGTTTAATTGCAAAGCTACCTATGCTCCACAGAAATCTGGTGCCCCCTTGCTCTTACCATTGTAATTCCTTCGCATCAGAAATAAAGGATTGTGAGCCTGGGGCTACAGAAAAAGTTAGTTTCTCTGATAGAAGGAATCCAGAAGCACATTAAGCTTCTTGTCTGGATACTTTTTGTGCTCCTCAGTTAGGGTCTTTTGTGCAATGCTGCATCCCTCCTGTGAAGCTGGGCATTTGCTTCACTATACAATTGCTTTCCTCAGTTCCTCCACGCAGACCTGTTGCACCCCAGTAGAGGTGACGTCTCTCTCACTTCAGTCTCCTTCCAACACTCCTTGTTTAAATCCTTGTGCAGCTTTTCTTGTCGTCTAATCTAAACAGGGCCACTCGTTTTCTCCAAAAGGTGCCGGCGACAAAACTTCTGATGATCTCAGTGAGGGCAAAAGACCCTTGAAAAAGATACTCAGCTCAGACCTGAAGCTCGCTAATGGAAGCTTTACCACTGACTTCCAGGCAGCGATGAGCGGGCTCTCCTCTCTCCCTCTTCCATATAATGCTGAAGATAAAGATGGCAGGCATTGCAGAATAAACAATGGACACCATCAAACCAATTGCTCTGAATAGGTCATTGCCTCTGATTTTGACCCTGCCTTCACCAAAGAACCCCTCGTCCTCCAAATGTCACAAGCACCGTGTTCAGTTTCTACTCAGGCTCACATTAAAGTCCTTACATTTCAGAGCGCTGCACAGGTATTTTTCATGCATTTTTTTCCAAGATGGCTTTAACACGGAAGACCTATGCTTCCCTTCCAACATTTCTTGTTAAGTTTGAAAATTCTGGCACCAGTGCTAAGATAAGATCAACAGTGCATCCACTTATATGACAAGGAAGAGAATCCAGTACAAAATAATACCATGTGAATTAGATATAACTTGGTAGCCAATTAATAGAACTGTATTCTGTTGAATGTTCAATTGAGGTCACATTGGCTTGTTAATTTATTTTTAACTTGCTAGGTTGTTGTTTTTTTTAATCTTTATTTCAACCCTGGCCAAAAAATCAACAACTAATGTATTATATTGGATCCTGTGATTTGCCTCTATTGCCTTTTCCATAATGACAGCTTAGGCATGTTACAAAGTATACAGATATAGATAAAAACAGGGCTGAGATGTAAAAAAAGGCACAAGTGAAAAAAATACATTGTGGTTTCTATATTTTCCCCGCAAGCACAAATTGTTGAGTAAGGAGATTTTCAAAAGCCAGAAGTTACTATGGAGAAAACCAAAGCTGGAATCCAATGCTAGAAGAGGCTGCATCTGGCAGAACAAAGTTTGGAAAGAGGATTTGCTTTCAGTGGGTTCCTGTATTTCCCCACAACATAGCACATGTCATGTACAAAGCCAGTGCTTTCACGGATGAGATACCACCGCTGTGAAAGTCAACCTCAAAATTAGAAAGCACCTAAGTGCTGCTGTGCCCTGGTCCCTTTGGGTTTTTTGGTTTTCTTACCCCTTTGGTTTTTTCAGTTTCCTTACTCCCTACTCCCCCCCCCAAAAAAAACACACAAAAAAACTCTTCATGGATTTTTAAATGGAATATTTGCAGGTTTACAAATAACACTAAGAAATCAACAGCTGGAAAGCACTAATTATCTCTATTAACCCCCCTTCTCCTAGCTAAAAATACTGCCTGAGACTGAACTGTAAAGCATGACTCTGGTTCCAGCTTCTCAGTTCAAAGCCTGTGAAATTGGGAGGTTAAGTTATTTGCAGTCTACGTTATTTGAAGCAGTCAGAAGATATCACTCTTTAAAAATGCCTCACCGGAGCATTTCAGTTTCCAGGCATCAGCACCAAAACATTTCAAAATGAATGGTGCAATACCAGGTTATGAAACTGTAAAGGAGGGAAAATCATCTTTGTTACTCGGAGTGCTTAGAGGCAAGGTTAGGCAACAGTGTCCCTCCATCCCCAGGTTTTCTCATGTCCACTAGTGGCTTGTTGCATCTTCATTATCTGAACGGAGCGCGGCTGGCAGAGCCCACGGCCCTGATGTTCAGTGGACGCGGAACAGAAATTCGCATGGATGCGAGGTTAGCCGTCGACCCCGTTTACCCATCCATGGGGCGACGGTACCCGTCTTCGACTGTCGCCCAGGGGCACCGTCAGGGAGGACCTTGCCAAGTTCAATACTCTCATCATCGCTACGGGTTTGGTCTGAATAACACTGGAAGCATCTCCCTGGCGCTCCACCTGTTGATCTCAATACTGCACTTGGCAATTGTGAAGGAGCAGAGTCCCTGAAAACAGAGGGCAGCTTCCGCTCCCAGAGATTAGGAGAGCAAGCGAGGGATCTGGGCTGGTACCTGGCAGCCCACATCATCCTTCCCCCTTGCAGGGCGGCTTGTGCTTTCTGCGGCCCCGGCCCCGGACAAAGTCTGCCACTGTCCCAGCCCGGGACAGGGCAGCGTCCCCCTCCCGGCGGCCCCGGACCTGCCCCCTCCCGCGGGCCGGTGCCTACCTGCCAGCAGCGCCAGGAGCCACCAGGGCGGGAGCATGGTCCCGAGAGCCGCCGGCCGGCCGCGACACCCGC